CCAGTGGACTCCAGATGTGCTTTCCAGATGTACTGCCCCGCCCCCACCCCATCCGCTCCCCATCCCCACCCCCTCGCTTTTCCGAGGGAATGAGAGATGGAAGGAGGACACTCCCTGACTCAGATAGAGCGGGACAGGCGCACACAAACTGACAAAATTCCTTGGCAAATCACCCCTCCCCTCCCCCTAGAGTGAATCACTCTTAAATACACAGGGGTCGTTATTAGCACAAATATAAACACAGAAAATGCAGTACTGGCTAAGCTAGCCACTATTCTCAGGGCGGATGCTGTCCCAAAACACAGTGACATAAATGCCCTGTGACTTACTGGTAAACACATGGGCTGACAGGCACATCCACATGCAGACATACACACATACATACACACAAATGACCCAATGTGGGGACAGACATACAAACACACAGTCGCACCTGCATACATTAATTCCAAACACCTAACCACAAGGTATATGTAGAGATTAATAAATAATAACAAGTACAGACCTCTGTGCATTGAGCTGTACCATCAAACCACATATATTGAGGTTGAAAGAAACAGATGCACACCAACCAGGACATGATAAAGGTTAATGTTGAACTGCCCCCTCCAACACACAGACATACAAACATACAGCCAAGCTTTTAACTGTGCCAAAACATAGACCTAGATGGATGAGAAAACAGACAGGAAGGACTTTTTTGTATGTATACAAAAAAGAGACACTGCCATATACACACGTGTACAGATACATGGGTGGCAGGTGGACACCCAGGGTTCAGTCACCAAGAGTCAGTGGGGGCCAAAATAGAGAGACCCCAGAGAGAGAAGGGGTTATTATTATGTGAATCTCTGTCTCTTCCTGGTACACACTAGGACAGGATTCTATGGTGGCAATTATAAGACAACACACTCTCCCTATGACAGCTGATAAGAAACACAACTTAGCTACATGGGCATCTTTCTTTTTCCCTTCTTGTGTAGCCCAGCTCAAACTTCTGATCCTCCTGCCTTTGCCTCCTGGGTGCTAGGGTGACAGCCATGTGCTGCCATGCCTCATGTGGCATCTTGATTCTATGAAGGACCAGGACCTAACATCAGGACACACACCCACAGGTGTCCTCCTGTGAGCAGACATTGTCATCTTCATATACAGAGGTATGCAAGATAGCCACCCAGTGTAACATCTCAGGTCTCACAGAATCAATAGCCAGAATACATGAATGCAGGACAGATACAGGCTGCCCTTCAGTGACACCCACACAAAAATATACTCTGAGATAGTCACAGAAGCTGATCCTTGCTACAAAGTAGTTGATGCTGATGGGTATCCTGATCCAGGAATGGACAAGTAAGTGTACAGAGGCAGACCAGCCCCCACCAGATGTACAGAGACCTCCTTGCCACTTCCCAAGTGTTTTTGTCCCTCTTTTCTAACACATTGATAAATACAAGAGACCCTCTCCCAACTGAATGTCCTATACCTTCCCCACCCTCTCGTTCATGTCTTGCCAGGCTGACTCAGGCCCCATTCCTGCCCCTACCCGACCACTCGAGCCACGGGCCTGAGTCACCCCTCTGGGGGCCAGCATGCTCTTTATACTTCCTTGCACACTCAGGGCCCCCGGAATGCTGAGAATGTGAGCCTTTCCCTCCAACCCTGGGAGACCCCTCTGAATACCTCCCAGAGGCAGCAAGTGTTGGTTTGGGAAGATGCTGCTCCTCAGGTGGCTGCCTCCTCTGCTGAGCCATCCTGATGTGTGTGCCTCCACTTCTCCTTCCTTGATAAAGGGTGCCCTATATACAAGGTCCCCCAGTTCTACCTCTGACTGCCATGGGACTCCAAACAAAAGGCCCAGTCTTATAATACAGAAAGGGAGGGCCATCCTGAAACAGGGGTCCCATCATTCAAACCTCACCTTCCTATGTCCCTCCATGTTGGGTCACCTCAGTGGCCTGTCCTCTTAAATATTCCTCCTCCCTTCTCTCTCTCTCTCTAGCTCTCTCTCTCTTCCTTCGTTTCTTCTTTTTTTGTGACTAGGACTCATGTATCTCAGGCTGGCCTCTAATTCGTGATGTACCCAAGGCTGGCCTTGAACTTGGTATTTAGTTGAGGATTATCTTGAACTTCTGATCCTCCTGCCTCTACCACCCCAGTGCTGTGATTTCAGGCATGCACCACCATACCTGTTTTATGTGGTGCTGGAATTGAACTCAGAGCTTTGTGCATGCACTCCACCAACTGAGCTACAGCCTCAGCCCTTTGTTTCTTTTTTCTTTTTTTTTTTTTTTAAACAGGGTCTCACACTGTAGTCCAGGCTTGCCTTCTCTAATCTTTTTTTCTCTATCACTTACTTTCTTTCACTTTTTCTACTCTGGGCTGTGTTTTCTTAGGGGACCTCAGCTGGGCAGGGACCTCCTTCCTTTGGCTGAAGTCCAGGGGACACTTTGGGGCAGGAGGTGGGCAGGTCGAAGGGGGAGGGAAGAGTATGGTTAGTTCCGATGCCCTGCTTGGGTCAAGGACTGACAAAGGGGCACCAGGCCCACACACTTAGGCTACTGAACAGCTCAGAGGAAATTCAGGACAAAGAATGCTATTCAGAGAGAGACTGTGGTGAACAGAGAGAAGTTGGGAGACAGAAAGATAGAAGTGCACACAGAGAAACAGTGAGAAAGCAAGAGAAAAGTGGAGATGCAGAACAGACATAGAGAGAGCCATAGGGGAGAAGCGAGAAGGCACAGAGTCAGAAGCAAGCACAGGACAGAGGGACAGGCTGACACAGACACAGTGGACCACTGGCTCTTGCTCTGCCTCCTTGGCCCACATCTTCAGACTTACCTGGAGCATGCAGGTTGTACTGAGAGCTGTGGCCTGTGGCTGGGACCAGGGGGACAGCATCCCGAAGCCAGAGTAGGTTCACGGGTTCTGGGGGTCCTTGGGCCCAGCAGCTCAGGTTGAAGGGGGTGTTGGCAGGCACAGCTTTGTCTTCTGGCTCCTCCAGGAAATAAGGGAGGCCTGGAGAGGTAGTGGTAGAGGCTGAGAGGTTCCTCTGCACCTCCCAGGGTCTGGACCACCATTAGGATACTGGAGGAGTTGAACACCAGACTCATCCCACAGAACCTTTGGCTTGTCCCCTTATACATGGTCCCTCAGGACACTTGAGTCACCTTCAGATGTCTGACCCCTTTTACTTCTATGACTATATTTCCAAAATCTGGCTCTCTCTCTCTCTCTCTCTCTCTCTCTCTCTCTCTCTCGACAGGATTTTCCTTGCTATGTAGCCCAGGCTGGCCTCAAACTACAGATCCTCCTGCCTCAGCCATCTGAGTGCTGGGGTTACAGGTGTACACTACCATACCTGATTTCCTCTTATCAACCAAGGAGAAAATGAGGTCCCTGGGGTGGTAGGAGAGAGGTTGGTCACATGCCTCCAACCTCCTGGGGCATGTCCAACTCCAAGCATGTCTGACCCCCAGGATATCTAAAAGACCCCCCATGTCTTCTCCTCCTGGACATAAAATCTCCCTTAGACCTAACCCCCCATAATCTATGGAACCCCCTTCCCCCAGTCTCCTCAGCTCCCAAGATTTCTGACATCTCTAGGTTTATGTCCCCAGGGAAAACCCCTGAATCTTCCAGTACCCTGTGACCCTAGAACTTACCTTCCAGCCTTACATAGCCGGGCTGGGACACGAAGGTTCGCCCTTTCAGGTGCACCCTACACTGGTACTGCCCTGCATCCGCAAGCTGCAGGGATGAGATTCTAGAAGAGAAGAGGAGGGACAGAGAGGGTCGGGGCTGGACACTGGAAGGGTCAGCAAAACTGAAAGAGGGGGTCTGGACTGGAAACTCATAGGACAATGAAGTAGGTACTATTTTTAACTCATTTTTACAGAAGAGGAAGATGAAACCCAAAGGTCCTATCACAAGCTCAAAGCTACATAGCCAGTAAGCTGAGATCCCAACCCAAGTAGAGGTGCTGGCCAGTGCCTTTGTGTGGATTGGCCATGTGGATGGGGATCAGGAAACGGGTTGGGATGTGACTGGCCAGGGAGAGACGCCACACCTGAGTTGGCTGATCACTTTCCAGTCATCCTGCCAGTCTTCGCCCAGAGGCACCTGGGTCTGGGTGTTGTCCGCCAGTTCTAGGAGATGTCCATCACGAAGCCAGCTCACCTCAGGGGGTTCCCCCTGAACCTGGAGCTCACACCGAAGGGTCCCCATGAGTCCTCGGGCACCTGTGATGTTCCCTGGGCTCCCCATAAATGGGCTATCAGACTCAGCTTGTATGTCTGTCAGGGGAGATGGGAAGGAATGAATTTAGAACATCCCCTTTCCCCCCAGTTCACTGATCCTCAGTTCTGCCCTGTCTCTGCCTGCCCACAGGCTGCCAGGACCCTAGCAGGCCCTTAGGCCCACATAGTTGTAGAATGACCTCAGAATGAGGTGGAGGCTGGAGGCATGGGGGAGGGTGGGAGTCTTCCCAGGGGACCAAGATCCTAACTTCCATCCCGTGTCCAGTCCGCTGGGAAGAAGGCCCAAGATCTGGCAGCCTCCCACGCCCTGAGCCAGTCCCTGACCTTTGGGTCTCTAGGGACTTCACAGTCTG